ATAGTCGGGGACGCCTTATTCTCCACTCTCCCGCTCAGGGACATCTTCTTCTCCACCCTCCAGCTCCACCGCTCAGCAGGAGCTCCGCCTAACATTGCCCTCTTGGCGGAGCCGCAGCATGACTGCCAAGGAAGATGCCACTTCACTCATTGTAGCAAATGATATACTCTTGCAACTCGGCCTCACAGTTTTACTTAGCCTGTGGTACCGCTGCACTGTGGGGTACTAGGCCTACCAAGTTACTCCCTTTTGGCGGGAACATCATTGCAGCCTGYAAGTCTACCTCAGGCTCTGAATCTAACCTTTTTACTCACATGACCTTTTAGAAGCTACTGGGTCCTTCTAGGCCTACCGGACTACTGCTGGGCCTAACCGACTTGCGGGAAAATCTGCGTTGGGCACTTCCCGAATTCTACTTGTGTCTTGTCTCGCCTTAGCATTTCTAGAAGTCTGTCCAGTCCCCAATTTCAGTCTTGTCCCTGCAGTTTTCCTATTTCTAATCTACTCCTCCCGGGAGCACAGAAAACACAGGGCAAGCACATGATTATTACTCTGTATACTGATCACACGGGGAYTTACACACATGCAAGCACACAGCAAACTCATACAGAACCTAGACATCAAGATTGTTAGGTGCAGAGTAGGCTGCGCACGGGGGAAATAGCCACCCAGGAAATCAGACCAGCAAGCAGCAATACTCAGAAAACAGCAAAGATCTCAGACTGATTCTGTGCCGGTCATTGCAYGACTCCTAATCTACTGATCATCTGCTGTGAGTGGTCTAGTATTGTTCACCATTTCGTTACCAGGAAGGAATCCTCCCACCTTTCTCAGGTTACATCCCGAACTCCAGAAGTAGCTTCAAAGATCTGGAGAGAGATTGACCCCCTTGGATGAGAGCTCAAGACTACATCCGTTCCATACTATGGAGCACACTTGCAAGCGCACGCAATTCCGCACTTGCGGCGCACCAGCCGCACGGGACATTGCGACGCACGGGGGAAATAGCCACCCAGGAAAAGAAGGGGCGGATCAGTGATCACCTGCGCCCCCCTCAGAAAATTTGTTGGAGGATGAGGGGGAAAAAAAAAAAGTTGGAAGAGCAATTTCGCCACTTAACAGTCAAGATTGATGCCCCAGAGACGTATTTGAGGCTATTTATGATGCCCAGTGAGACAAAAAGAAAGCTTTGTACRACTGTCCTTGAACACAATCTGTTCCTTAGGTAGTACACTTGTCTTTTTCTCATACATGCGGCGCATCGCGATGCGCTGTACTGCACACGTGCGCCGCACCGCGTATCCCGCACGACGCGCGCGCACTGCATGCGGCGCACCTCCAAAAATGGGGGTCGAAAAAAAAAAAGAAAAGTTGTGAGGGGCGGTAGTAGACCCGGCCCCCTGCTCACGTAAAATAAGAAACGGGCAGCCAATTTTTTTTTGGAGGCCGCGCGTTGGCCTGAAAGCTTTTAGTAACCTGTAATCCGCGTAACATTGTGTATGGTAGGGTTCTTGCAGTCTGTATGKTAGGGTTCTTGCAGGCTAGATTCAGTCATGATGAGGGTCGTGATCTCTCAACGTTCTCTTCTTATTACTTCTGAAGTAGAAACCGACGGAACTGACAGCCGTTTTTCCTGGAGTTTTTTATTTTTTAATAAAAAAAAAAATCGTAAAGGAAGAAAATCAGTGGAACTGACAGCCACTTCCTACTTTGAAAGGGTGACGGCCTCGAGACATCCTGATTGATTGACCAGGCCCAGGGAGTTCATAAAAAAAAAAAAAAAAAAAAAGAACCTCCACGGTACTGTTCACCAACGGGCTCGCTGCACTACTCTCGACATGCACACAAGACGTATATGGCAATGTATCTTTCCATGTTCAAGCGGAGGATTCAATCTCATTTGTTCAGAGCTCTCCAAAAAAAAAAAGAAAGGTTCCAGAGATACGTTACGTGCTTACCTGATTCATTCTCATTTTGCACATTTGGTAAGTAGCGGAGCAACGGCCCTTCGCTCTCCACCACCCAACGTATGAGCAAAATGGGAATGAATCTTCCGCCAGAACATGGAAAGATACACTGCCATATTTTTTGTCTTCGTGCATGTCGCCTCGCTTCCGGATTCATGTTGGCCATTGATAAGGGCGGTTTCTTCGGTCCGATAGTGTCAGCACACGGTTTCTCTCTCTCTCTCTCTCTCTCTCTCT